AATGACCTTTCCCAAATCTTCGCTCGCGAAGACTGGCCATTATTATTACTAAGCAATGCTGAGATTTGATCCTATCACTCTTTATGTGATCTGAGACCAAGTGACTTCAGTAAGGAACCTCCTAGCATGACACTGCATTTGTACATAGTGAACAGAAAGCTGAGTGGCTTTGGTATCTTCTAATAACATGATTAAATAGTATAATTTAATTTTAAATCTTTGAGGGACTGCATCCTGAGGGGAAGGTGGTTGGAAATATCTAGGTTGGTTACCCACTTATTGAAAGAAATCTTCAAAAAGAAAAACATACACAATGAACTGGAAGTACTGACACACTATATAATAAAGTACTGAAAATCAGATGTATTATGTAAGCGTGACTTGTTTACATTTGAACAATCACTACTGTATTTATGTAATCTGCATAAATACGTTTAGCCAGTTGATATGTCAATAAAGTAAGGAGCTTCACCCTTCTAGGAAAAAGAAGCTTAGAAAATACTTCTGCTGAAGATTAGAATGCAAATAAAATGTGCTATTAAAAATTACATTAAATTCAATCAATAATCTTTAGATTTACAGCAATAAGAATCCTTCTAGACTAACGTTTTAAGTTTTGAAAGAAAGTTATTTCATTCAACACACTTATCAAGTCCAGAAGAAATTACTGAGGAAATCACTGCAGCACCAAATCATAACTTTAAACAATAACCTAAAGTTATTTTATTGTTCACTTTTGGAGAAAATATCTCATCAAATTTTGAAATTTCTTATCCAAGTCTCTGATATTTTTATTTTTTTGACATATTTCTAACTTCACCTTACACAGAGGAAGAAAACACAGTGAATGCCATATTTACGAAGTATTTATACAAATCTAGGATGCAGGATTTTCTTTGTTCAAGAAAAGACCTTTTAGAACTCAAGAGTTCATGTGCAGCAGAGAATGAATGCTTTTAAAAATGGCACCTGGCCAACAGAAATGATGAAAAGTTCATTTTGGACTGGTATAGAAGAACACATACCACTTTGAGAGCTGTAATTGCAGCAAAATACGGTGCTCCAGTGTACCTAGAATTAAATAAAATTTAGGTTAGGAAACACGGTCATGAGATTCAATGATTTGGAAATCAGTCTGCCATAATAAAATCCCAAATTCAAGAGCAAGTTTTTAAAATTGTTTTCCCTTCTGCTTGCTGTAAAAGACAGAAAAAAATCCTGCAATACTGAAGCCAATCTCAAATCTTACTCTGATTTCAAAGGCACAAAATTTTACCCTAGCCACCTGATTTTTCATAGAAGTATTTACAAAGGTCATGCCATAAAACAGCAAAATTTTTTCAGGTAACCAAGGTAAAAGTTTAGAGACAAACAAAACAAGCACCAAGCACTGTTTGCAAGCTAAATCTGGGGTCTGTGACCTGGATTAATCCCATCTGGTTTTAGATGCTTAACTAAAGTGCCTAAACTGTGATTCCAGTTGCCCTAAATTCTCTTCATAAAGACTGAATAGTGAGATATGAACAGTACCAGCCTCCAGAAGTGCTTACTTCAGCCAAGAAGTAAGAACTTACTAGCCCATTATGTTCTAACTCCTGGCTAGTCAACCCAGCTATAAGACAGCACTTTTTTGCTCTTTATAGGATGCTTATTAATGGCAGATGTCCAACAGCAGATCTCTCTTATAGGAGAAAGATGTTGTCCCTATTTCAAAAGGGGAAAATGAAGAACAGGAAGGTGTAGTGGCTCATTCAAAGTATTGTGGCAAAGAATATAAAGCCTGTTTTATTTCTAGGTCAGTACAGCACTTAACTTATTTATGCTGTATCTCTTTTTTCCCCGAAACATGCTATTTTTATTACTCTGGTACATAAAACAAGTTATTGACAGAATCTAGTAAACACCACAATTTATCAAAATAAAAAGGGCACAGTAAGAAAATATTGTGTTCCTGATTTAAGAGACCCAGTTCCCAAGGAACAAAAATATATATTAAAAAAAAATCAGATGTGCCACTGTCATAATCTAGTCTACTTATTCTATAATGTCATCATGCCATGGAAAAAAAACTAACACTGAAAGCAGACAGTTTAGTGGTCAAAAAAGACACAGAAGGTAGACACAGACACAGATAGCATTTTAAGTTCCACTCACATGCAGTACCAAGATTTTGCAACACATCTGCAAGAAAACATGTTCTTTCCTAAGCATGCATGGTCATGTTGATGGACTAGTAAAGCTCCCTGGAAAATACTCATGTTTTAAATGTGAGTTTGAATGGGTTCTACAAGTACTTATGACATCCTCAAACTCTCTGAGAAGCAAAAATCAAATTTCCATTTAACTTACTCTCGACATCCTCCAACAATGCCTATACGACCATCTTGACCTTTATGCTTTTTCCCTGTTAGAGGAGGGATAACGTTGCGCACCAGTTGAAAAATATTCTCCATATCCTTTAGAGAGTGTGTTCTGTGCAGTGAAAAAGATCTCTCTATAACTGAAAAGAAGAAAATAAGTGTTAAAGTATGTTCTTTCTTAAACTACCATCAAGCACTTCTTTTAAGCACTCATGAACACTAATAAAATCACACAAAGATATACAAAGTGACATATGTCTGAAAACCAAATGCTTTATCACTTAAAGGCCTTTAAAACAGTGAGTAACTAGGGAAGAGGATGATGTTAAAAATTAATGTAGGGTCTGATGCAGAGAATATTCTCACTGACTGTTCACAGTCCTAATTTAGGGCTCACATAAGAAGGAAACCACAACCCAGAACAGTTATATGAACATTTTGTAACTAGAAATATCATCTTAGTTCAGCCTGAAATCACTTCCATAATTAAGCTCAACTGAAATAGGTACACTTGGCAAGGACTGAACACATCCAGACACAGAGCAAGCACAAAGCAACTAAAACCAAAATTTAAACGTACACCCTACCTTATATTTCGTTTCCCCTTAAAGACTTCCACCTCTTAGCAGAATCAGGGCCTATCTCACTGCCTTTTTATTTTGGTAGGCGGTTACAAAGCATAATGGAAGTCTTTCTGCAAAACTATAATCCAACACACTAGATGCAAACATCACAAATATCACACAAAGATCATTTTTAGCTATAATACAACTCCAGATCTCTGATGCAAAACTACATGTCAAACCACATACTAAAACAACTGCACACTCACAAGGCTACATATCAAATTACTGTTTCAAAAGGCTACAAAAATTCAGAAGTAAAAGTATTTCAACAATTACAACTAGAGAGAATTAAAACATTTACCTAACATGAGACAAATGTGAAGATCAGTACTTCTTTCAACCATGCATTTAACTATAAATTGCAGCAAATACACTAAAAGAATAAGTTCTTATATTTCAACTAAGCTCCTCATTAACTGTACAATTCTGTTCAGAAGAGTGGTTTATTTGGACGTTAATAATAGTGTCCTAGACCATAGTCATGCTTACTTTCTTAAAAGCTTTCAAGGAAATGCTATACAGTATAACATAATTATGCAGAAAATAACTCCCATGATATTCCTTATTTTCAGCTGTATAAAACTCAGCAG